TGGGGGCAGGGAAGGGAGCGGGGAAGGGAAGGGAGCGGGGAAGGGAAGGGAACATCCTTTGAAAGGACCAAGGAGGGAGAAAATCATCTTTTTTCTGGAGGATTGGTGAATACTCAATTCTATTTTCTTCTACAATTTCAAAATATGTTTACTCTTTAATCCATCTGAAATTTGTTTCGACTTGATTCAAGGTGAAAGATCAATTTCTAATCTTAGCTTAGTACAGTAAGTCCTCACTTAATGTCATCGATAAGTTCTTAGAAACAGCTTCTTTAAGCAAAATGACATATAAAGAAACCAATTTTACCAAGGGCTAATTGATATAAACAAGAGTTAAGTTCCTACAGCATATTTCTGGTCACAAAATCATCACCTAACTTTTACAAAAAGAGTCAAAACACTTCTAATATTAAACACTGAAATAAATGTAAGCTATGCATACATTGATGAAAGATAAATAAAAACAAGTCAGATCATTCTTTTCCAACCAGCTGACTCCAGTTCGGGGTCACAGGGGGCGGGAGACCCTCCCAGCAGCTCAAGGTGCGAGCTGAAACCCCACGCTGGACAGGATGCCCTTCCATTGCAGGGCACACTCACACGCACCCACACTCACTCACACTGGGACAATGCGGACACGCCAGTTCACCTCACGTGCATGTCTTTGGGATGGGGGGAGGAAACCCACGTGGTTGTGGAAGGACACGCCAGCTGCACACAGACAGTTGCAGCTGACATTGAAGGAAACAACATTATTCGAGGACCTGCTGTAATTTCTAGTTTACTAAGCACTTGATTTTTTTCCTCTTACTTTATGATGTGTTGTCTTACAGCCTCACAGTCTGTGTTATATGAAACTATTTCTATTGACTATTTTATTGATTCCATTCTGATTTCATTTCTTGTCTTGTGCAATCACCATACTATTTTACTTAATGCCACTGTATTGGCCTTTTTTAAGGAATGTTAATTAATAATTTCATTTGTTTATTCTTCCAAATAAAATTTGCAAATCCAAATAAAATTAAGAATTCCAAATAAAATATCATTGGAAGTTTTATTGGTATTACAATGAAGCTATATATTAAGATAAGATTAACATTTTAAAGTATTTGTTTTCATATTTAAGAGATATATATAAGTATATACCCCTTTTATATCTCTAAGTTAAATATTACATATTATGGTTTTCCTCAGATAAGTTATAAAATTCTTCAAGAAGATTATACTTGAATATTTTATAGGTTTTGTAGATATTGGGAGGGAATCTCTTTAAATCCTGTAATTTCTGGTAGTTAAGGTAAATATTGATTTTTTTCTATTAATCTCATATCCACCTATTTTCTGAAACTTTTTACTAATTAAATCTTTTTAAACTGATTATTTTATATTTTCTGATAAAACATTTTGTCTCTTCTTTCCAAAATTTCTACTTATTTCTCCTTCCTGACTTATGGCACGAACCAGAACTACCAAAACTTTAATATATAAAGTGATAATAATTGTTTTTTGAAAATATTATTAAATAGATTAGAACACAAGTCTTTTCCCAGTAAATATAATGCTGATTCGTGTTCTAAATTAGCTATAACTTATAATTGAGGCAGTATTCTTCCATTCTTATGTCTCAGTTTTTATGTTAAGAACAGGCACGCACTTTGAATAACCTCATCAATATTTTCTACATTTTCTAAAGTGTGTTCTGTTTCACACTCATTCTTCAAGATGCTGCTTAATAAATAAAAGACTTCGATGATTAAAAATATCTGGGAAACTGTGAATATCGTATTCTCCTCTTGGAGATTTATAACGCGTTTAGTATATTGAAGTCTTTGGGAACGTCTACAGCAAAGAAACTCATTAACTTTAGCACAGCATTTTCCAAGTGTACTTGATCATGGAATTCCCTTTTTCTAATTATCATCTGTCAGGAATAATTAATACCTTAGTTGAAATCTGCAGCTGCCCTAATTCAGGAACCCTCACCCAGTGGACACTGGCATGATTTGAATGGATTACAGGGAGACTCATTTCTCCTCATCTGCAAAATGGCAATAATAATAGTACCTTCCCTGGAAAACAGTACAGCAGTTCCTCAAAAAGTTAAACATCGAATTACCATATGAGCCAGAAATTCCACTTCTGGGTATATACCTAAAAGAACTGAAAGAAGGGACTCGAGCAGATATTTGTACACCAGTGTTCACGGCAGCGTTGTTCACAATAGCCAAGAGGTAGAAATGACCCAAATGTCCACTGATACGTGAACGGATAAACGAGGGTTATTTACGCCTCTCGGCTATTGTGAATAATGCTGGTATATACTTACAGTGGAATAGTATGCAGCCTTAAAAAGGAATGAAATGCTGACACATGCTACAACATGGATGAACCCTGAAGACATTAAGTGAAATAAACCAGACACATAAGAAGTACTGCGTAATTCCACTTATAGGAGTTAACTAGCATAGTGAAACTCATAGAGACGAAAAGTAGAATGGTGGTTGCCAGGAGTGGGACTGGGGAGTTACCTGTCTAATGGGTATGAAGTTTCTGTCTGGGATAATGAAAAAGTTCTGGAGGTGGATGGGGGTGATGGTTGCACGACAATGTGAACGTACTTAATGTCAATGAACGGCACTTAAAAATGGTTGAAATGGAAAATTTCATTTATGTATATTTTACCACGATAAAAAAATAGCATCTTTACTGATGAGTTTGGTTAATGATTACATTAGTTAAAATGTATAAAAAATTAGATTAATGCCTGATTCATATTAAGGGCTATACCTGTATTAGATAATAATTGGCTGAATATGAGGTTCTGTTTCAAAATATACTCTTACTGGATCAAGACTGTGTAAACTGATACTAGACATAAACGAGCTCTTATAGAGGAAAACTATTCAAAACCTTCAAATAGTCTATTATTTAAATAGAATAAAACAAAGCAAGGTTGGCTTTTTTTACAATGCATTACTCTGACAAACTCCAATAGTCATATTAGTAGCTGACGATACCACTTGACAAAGACTAGAGCTCAAGGAAAAAATAGGTAGCACCTATTAGCCAGGCTGCCCTATAGTATTTCAAAACTAGTAAGAAGAACAGACCTTGAATAGAATAGACATCACAGTAAATAAATATACTTCATCCTAATTCAAATGTATTATTGGGTATAACATTAAAGGACATACATATCAAACAATAAAATGGACTTAACAATTCTAATACTCCTTCTGAACACTATTATACAAGGTTCCAGGTCGTGAAGCCAACCAGCAAGCCAAAACCAAACTAAAGCATTACTTACCCCTTCTTGCCCTTTTCGAGCTGGTGATTTTTGAACAGTATCTCTAACTTCTTTTATTTAACTAAATTTTTCATCATAAAAATAAAAAAGCCAGATTGTGTATATTCTTGCCAAATTAT